GGATTATTGTGATGTTTTTATCAGCTGTTTGGACTCTCATTCTGACGGCACCCATTCACTGCAGAGCATTGCTGAGCAAGTGATGCAGTGCTAAGTTTCTCCAAATCTGATGAAGAAATTAACTGAGGGGGAGCACATAATCAGGAAATTTTCCTTTTTGGGTGAACTACGCCTTTAAATTAAATTTCACAAAGCAGACATTTGGCATATTCTGTTAAAAAGTAAGGATGTACAAACTACACTGAAAAAGCTTGTTTACTTGCTACTGACTGTCTGAAACACAATAGAATTATATCAGTTTTAAAATCTTGAATATGTAACTAAAACTAGTGGCAGTTTAATAACCCTGATTCAACCTGCCACCGAAGCATCACACAAATCACACAGACGCTCTCAGCTAATGTATGAACATTGCTCCATTCACTCGCCAATTTAGACACTAGTGCACTAAAAGCACTCTGCCCGTGTTTGTCTGTTTGTGTGTGTTTGAGAGCGTACGTCACTGGCTCTAATGAATTGAGATGAATGTAATTCGTCTGCAGGTTAAAGCACAAACGAATGGGGCTCTTTGCTCTTCTTATAAAGCCCCGTCTGCCCTCAGACTCTTTGTTTTCTCAGGAACCCAGCAAATAAGTGCAGCCGTACACATTAATGCATATTTGATGTGACTTTAGTCCCAGAGCCACTTCATTAGTGGTAAAAGGCAGATGATGTAGCACAGTGTTTTAGGTGCTCCGTTGATGGACACAGTAATAAACAGCATCTTTTACATCACATAGAAGGCTGCGTATCATCCATGTCCAAGACAACAGATGGAGTGACTCAATCAGACTGAGACAACGTACTACAAACTCTGGATATGCAGTTATAGAGAAGCAACTACTGAAGACACACAGTGGCCCTGAAAAGTATCTGGACACTGAATGTCACTGCATTCGATAAAAACATCTAACAGCATTTCCTGTAAAGAATGATAGCACAAGCACAAGAAAAACATTTTCTGATTTCATTCCTATGATTTCGGGGTGAAATATGACCTGGACATGTGCTTGACAGGTTTGGCGCTTCACCCGGACGGTGTAATAACCGGCTGTAAATGGTAAAGTGTTAAATGTCAGTGAGTGATTGACAAAACCAGCTCACTCCGGTAAATGTCACATTTAAAATAATACACGAGAAATAAAAGCGCAGTTTACAGAGGTGATGTCATCACACGTGTCTGTGTGTCTGTGTGTGTGTGTGTGTGTGTGCGCGCGCGCGTGCGTGCGTGCATGCGTGCGAGTGGTGTGTGTGTGTGTGTGTGTGTGTGTGTGTGTGTGTGTGTGTCTCTCACAGGGCAGGGCTTTTGTGCATCAGTGCCGTTGTGATTGGATTACTTGGTGAAATGTAATTTTGCAGTGTTGCTTTTAGTGGTGTCACACACACAACTCAACACACACTGGAATCAGATTACAGTATTAAAATCTGCCGGCTCTGATTGCACAGGGATACTAGCACCTCCTCTTGCAGGAACACCACCATAAATCAATTAACTCTCATTCCTTCCTTCCATTCCTTTATTCCATTAAGACATAAAGCGCATTACACAGGTCGATCATTTACAGGAACGCAAACGGTTTAAACACTCCGAGCAACGACACATTTATACAGAGAATTCAACAACATTCTGCAGCTGCTGATTATACTGATCAAATTCAATGTGATACATTTTTTTTTTAAAGCGAGATATGAGAGTATACAAGGTACAAGGTTCTTCAGTGTCACATGATCTTCAGAAATCATTCTAATATGCTGATTTGCTGCTGAAGAAACATTTCTGGTTATTAGCAGTGTTTGAAACAGTTGTGCTGCTCCATATTTTTTGTAGAAAACGTGTTACATTTTATTTCTCAGGATTCACAGATGAATAGAAAGTTCAAAAGAGCAGCATTTTTTTGAAATAGAAACTTTTGTAACATTATAATGTACATGTATTTACTGTCTCTTTTGATCAGTTTAATGCATTCTCTCTGAATAAAAATCTATTAATCTTTTAAAAAGATATACTATTTTAAAATAAAATATCCTACTGACCCAGAATACTCAGTGCTCAATGGTGTCCTTGCAGTCAAATATTTGTGTATAAGTATTTAAAGGTAAAGTGTGTCACAATTACATTCCTATTTGAATTACTTCATCTGTCTTCTTCATCATGGGACAAAATGTGACAAGCGTAAACAACCAGTACTGCAAAAATGATCCAAAAACAAATAATTTGGCAATCAGGTTTCCTGAACACTCCCTTGTTGGTCAAATTTTCATTAAATTCGTCTGAAGATCACAGAAGGTCCTGACCAGTATATTCGTAACCACATGTGTGAGTTTGAGAGCCACATCTGCTCACCATGCATCATATAGGCGTTTCTGGACATGTAGGAATAAGCAACAGGCGTGTGATTGTTGGGTTGTGTTATTGCTGTGCTTCATGTGGGCTGGTTAATTAGCTGAAACGAATAGAGAGTTCAGGAGCCATCTGGGGTGGAAAGAGAGAGTGTGTCTCCATCTGATCGTCCCGCGCTAAACAGCATCTCTCAGCTTGAGCTGTGTGTCGCTCTGGTGGACGGTCTCGCAGCTTTAAACGCCGCTCCTCCCCAAGATGAATGTGATGCTGATGAGGAACTCATTAGATATCAGCGCTATGCTAGCGAGGAGCTTTTATATGCCATCAACACCAGTGTCAGCGTGTTCGTCAGGATTTCTCCTGGACTGATGCTGTCCTGAACAGGGTTTCCACGGGGTCTTAAAAAGTCTTAAATTTAGTTGTATCAAATTTAAGGCCTTAAAAAGTCTTAAATTGTACAAGAAAGTCTTAATTATGATTTCAGGAGGTCTTAAATTTGGGGACGAAAAGACCAGAATTGCAATATGGCTTAATGTGACGATTAAACTTCAAAAGGCTATGATTTTATTAAAAATACACGAGCGCTGCGCGTTTCAGAGTCTGGTGCTGCGCTGCTTTGTTTACTGCCGTTACCGGGGAAACAGTTATATTTCTGCTGTTCAGAAAGTGCCTCCTGCTGGCAGAGAATCGGTGTGCATTTTATATATATATAGTTTTTAGGTTTTAAATTCTGTTTTCTTAGAAAGAAAGACTTGTGTCTTTGCGAGACTTAGCCGCAGCGCAGCACTTCACGTCTGATGTCTGACCCACTTAACAAAGTGCAGTAAACGGTAAAACAATTGTGGTACAAATTAGTGTGTTTATTAGTATATTAATAAATGTCAAATAATTTGAATACAAATACTAGTTTACAACATCCAGCAGCACATTAAACTATTTTGCACTGCTAAATAGGCTAAATGGAGATTGCTGACATCGCCTTACACACTCAAGTTCACGCCAGCTCTTACATCAAAAATAAGATGGAAAGATAAAAAATTAATAGTTTCCATGGATCTAGGCTTTGCATCTGTTTGTTTGATCAGGTCTAAAAATGCGGTCCTGAAACTGCAGCCTCCAGTATTGCAGGAACACAGTATTGGGGTTGTTTTTGTTCAGACCAATGTGAAAATCGACCCATGTTTTTACCCTGCAAACACGCAGAGCTGTAAATGTGGACTGTTGGAGATAATGCATTATAAAAATCTAAACAGTAAAATGTATTTATATGCTATTTAATTAATATAATAATTTATTGATAATAATTGTTTAAATTAATATAATAATTAATACTTTTTACTTTTTATGAAAACTTGTATCTGAACTGTAATTTATGCTTTTTACAGTCATTTTACAGTTTAATTTGTTACCATAGGCATTACCCTACCCCGTTCATATGGTATTAATTTTATTCGTGCAGATCTTAAAATAGGTCTTAAAAATTCTTAAATTTGAGCTTAAAAATCCTGCAGAAACCCTGCTGAAGTGAACGGCTCTTCTGTACTCCATGTTGGATGATTTATTAATAATTTAGAGTTATCAGCAGCGTCTGGACTCTCAGAGAGCATGTCGACATGTGAAGATCTGCTGTGGAGGATCTCTACACTTACACACACAGAAACACTTTCTGTTTTTCCCCTGGTGTAAAAAATAAATGACTAACCTGTTTTATGTGCGGATGAGATGTCTCTCAGCTTGTCTGTCTAGCCAAACACGCACACAGTTACTAAAGGACCATCTGGATTGTCTGGTGAGGTTTAATAGTGCTGCCGTTTGCGTGTGCATCTGCAGTATCGTTATTGGTTGGCTATAGTATTGTGCTTACAGTGAACACTAATGTTAATTAAAAAGTTGTTAAAATGAAAATACCGAACTCTTTTAAATGAAATAAACTGGGAAAAAAAACCAACTCATTCAAAAACCATGAGCTCATTAACATATGAACATATTCAGCAGCAATGCAAAAAGGTTAGCCAATCATAGCATCAAATTAATTTACATATCTAAATCTTAAAGGTACAGATTTATTTGTAATGCTCAGAGAGGTCAATAAAAACTAAATCATGTTTTTACTATTGTAAGCAGTGTTGGGGCAAGTTACTTTTAAAAGTAATGCATTGCAATATTGTGTGACGCCATGAAAAAGTAACTAATTTTGTTACTTAGTTACTTTTTATGGAAAGTAATGGATTACATTACTTTTGTGTTATTATTGTCACCTGGGCTGGGCTTGCTTATTTGTTTTTAACTAACAAAAAACCCAAAAGTCATATTGTTGACGACTGTAAAGGCCCTTTCACACCAAAAGTGAAATGAATAAGCCGCAGGCACAAGGAATTGCCTCTACCTCCGTAACTCACTCACAATTTCTCTCAACATGGGACAGGAGAGCTGTCAGTGAATAAATGTGAAAACAAAGTAACTAGGATTACTTATTGAAAAAGTAACTCAGCTATTTTAATAAGTATTTAAGTTTTGATTCTACATGACACATTGAGATTGTTTAAAATATCATTAAGCTGATGATATAAAGCTTGGTCTTTATGAAACAGGTTGGTGAGATGTGTCTTTATTCTTCCAGAGCCCCCGAGACCCATCGCTCCACCTCAGCTGCTGGGCGTCGGGCCCACATACCTGCTAATCCAGCTAAACGCTAACTCCATATTTGGGGACGGCCCCATCATCCTGAAGGAGGTGGAGTACAGGATGACATCTGGAAGTTGGACAGAGACCCACGCCGTCAACTCGCCCAATTACAAGCTGTGGCACCTGGATCCCGACACGGAGTACGAGATCCGAGTGCTGCTGACCCGTCCGGGAGAGGGGGGAACCGGACAGCCCGGGCCGGCTCTCATCACCAGAACCAAGTGTGCAGGTCAGTCCGCTTGGCTTTCCAACATTAGCCTTCACTTTCCACATGTACTTTTGGTGTCATGACACGTCCAGTACATATTCATTTTTGTATGGGGAAGTGATTAAAGTGGGATGCACACTTTGCATTTTTTGTCCTGTCAAATTTCAGGGTTCACAAAAGATCCCTTTTGTCGTAAGGAAAAATAGTAAGCCTTGAATCGCATAGTGTCACGGCCTTGTTGGCTGATTAATTGCCAGTTCTCACTGAAGGTGGATGACTTCCAGTGTCTTTGTCTGCAAATCGCTGTCAGTGCTAAAACCCCTTAAAAGGATCGTTCTCATTTAAATTTCTTTCAAACCTGTATCACCTTCCTTCTTCTGAATGAAGAATGTTTGAACTGTTTTTTCCACACAATCAAAGTCACCCTGTTGAAAAAACCAGCATAGGCTGGTTAGGTAGATTTTGAAGCTTGGATGCTGGTTTGTGCTGGTTTAAGCTGGTCCTTAGCTGGTCGTGTGCTGGTCCTAAGATGGTCCGACCAGTTTAAGACCAACACATGACTAGCTAAGGACCAGCTAAGGGCCAGCTTAAACCAGCTCAAACCAGCATCCAATCTTCAATACCTACCAGCATATGCTGGTTTTTTCAACAGGGCAGTTAAGTAATATTTGATTATATAGCGATTTATACAATACAGACTGTTTCAAAACACTTCAATTCAGTTCAATAACAGTGTTGATGTTGCAAAGTTAGTATCATTATCCAGCTCAATTCAGATCAGATTTATTATTACTAATATTATTGAATAGTAGTGTCTTTTAAACTCTAAGCAATATAGGAGGTACATTTTGTCAGTCTTGCCTAGTTTGCAAAACTGTTTAGGTGTTATTTTGTGTATACACATCTGCTCTGTTCATACACATGCAAATATACACAAAAAGGGCCAAAATGCAGACTTTGGGTTCCCCTGGAGCACATGGAGGTTCGGGTTCAGCTGCAGTCTCATAATGATCCACAAGTGGCATGGAAACAAGGGTCTTCCTGTTTCAACTGCAGCACACCTCTTTTGAAAGTGTTTATTTCCCTTCTCGGTGTGGTATTTGCACATAAATAATTGCCTGGAGCTTCTTCAGAAACATAATTGGAAAATAAAGTAAACAAGTGAGCGTGCGGAGCAGCTATCATTGATGCCACTCACTGTGTGTGTGTGTGTGAGGTTTTTATGTGTTAATCATGACTCAAACCATGCGCTGAATACCACCGCCCTTATAAATTGGAAGCGCACGAGAGCAAACACTCAGTCACACCGCATATAAGGGCCTCGTGCCTTCATTTGAGATCTATGATGCGATTCTCTACACGGGTTTCCATGGCTCCCGTATTAAACGTGGCAAGACTCGGTGAAGACAGATATATGGCTTGTATGAGGAGGCACGGAGCGACGAGTGTCTTCCGGAGAGTGGAAGAGAGAGAGGAAAGAGAGGAGTGTATGCATGGTTTCATGATGGAGAGATGCTCCGTATCCCCTGATTGAAATTCAAACAGGAGCTCCTCTCCCCCATCAATCGCATTTGAGCTTTCATATTTTTTTTTATTTTGGCAAAAGATGTTTTCCAGGTCTACTTTAGACGTGGCTTTAGATGGAGCGCTTGCTGGGTTTTTTCATCTCCCTCTAGCCAATCACACACTTATCTCACCTCGGACAGGGAGAACTGAGTGGAACCGGTGAATTTACACAATTACATTTAGATTGGTGCCAGTCTGCCCGAGTGCCCTGTTTGAATTCATATTTTCTCTCTCTCTGTCTCTGTTTGTCAGTTAGTTTCCTGCTAAGCCATATTGTCTGGCGCTCGTGTGGCATGTGCATATTTCACATTTATCAATATTATTATGTTTGGCAGCATAGTTTATCTTGGTTGTGGCTATACATTTTGAAAATGACGGCATTGAGGAGGCGTAAATTCCTGAACGAATATTGCCACTTGTGTGTGTCTGAGCACAAGCCAAACACACCGATTCTTTCCACTTAAAGCCTTGCTGAAGCTCCCAGCCTTGTGTCTGTGTTTAGCTCATGATTAGGTGTGTTTCTGTCACAGCTGTGTTCCAGAAAGCTCTGAGGTCAGCAGACGCCCCTCAGGCCTTAACAGAGTTACAAACTATTGCTCAGAGCCGTCCCACGCTCATTTGAAATTTTCCAGTTTCGTCCCGAATATCTGGAGACGAATGCTATCCGTCGGCGTTCCTGTTCATCTCAAAGGCAGTCGCTCGGTTTTCAGACATGCAAAATAACAGGCAGTAGTATAAAAGGAGTAGCTATAATGTGAGATTTACTTGTGTGTTTTTCAAGAAATTCAAGCACAAATCTCCATTGCTTTCTAGGAGACAATAGGTGACCACCCATCCTGCATTTTAGGGACAGTCCCGAAATTGGAAGCTTTGTTCTGCATTCTGCAAGTTATAAGCAATGTCCCGCATATTATCAGTTTTGTCAATATTATTTTATTTTTCCATGAAATTACAATACCACAATAAAAAAAAAGTTATTTAAAAAGTTGCAAACTGGGATTACTGGGGTTTAAAAATATATTTGTACTACTGAAAAAGTAAAACAGGCTACAAGTTCAAGATGCACTGAATTCTGTAAAATGCATGTAATCTTTGTATAGTCTAATAAAGTAGCATAACTTAGTCACTGCTTAAGGAAATTGATTTAGTTCATTATATTTAGTGTACTGAATAGGGCAAACTGAGTGCCAGTCGCAATTAACATTTTCAAAAGCTTATTGGCGATTTAAAGCATATTATCATCCAATGTCACTGTAAATAGGCTTTCCATTTAACATTAATTAGTATTTGCATAGTCTAATAATAAGTTATCACTCAACAGAGCAACAACCAGGTGATCACCCTAAGGAGACATGGTTCTGATATTAAAGATATATTATAATTTTTAATTCTTATTGGGTGATTAATCTGAGCACAGATTGAAATGTTGTTCAGACGGAGATAATTCTGAAACTCTAGCAGAGACTTGTGGGATTACTTTGGCTTTTTGTCAGGAGAGATGTCTAAGAAGCCATAGACTTCAGCATTTGCTCTCCATTTAATCATATTGCTGTGTAGGAGAAACGTTTGAGATATTAAGATGATCTCGTTTGCGATTTGAGAAAATGAAAACTAGATTCAGTTCCTCCCGATGCCATGGGAATGTAGTCGCTGTCATAATGAAAAGTAACAACAGCAGCAGTGATCCTCAGTCTCAGGAACATTTGCTTTCTGTTGAACTTGTGGGCTGTGAGAGTTCAGAATGGAAAAGGTTATGTCTGATTATTTTTTTGTAGACACAAATACATTTGAATACAGGTCCCATGTGTGCATGTGTCAAGACTGATTATCAGCGCAAGAAAAACCATTATGACAATGTTCCAGACATCTCTCCCTCTGCCTTTTTATTTGGTAGAAATGTCAAGCCATTTCCCTAAAATAGCAAATTGATCATGTTTCCTATGATTCCCTGTCAAATGAGTCAAACATTGCCTCAATCATCATTGTACAAGTCAGTGCAATGTCTATAATGATGTCTGGAGAAATAAGCGTGAACTCGAGATGGAATTGAATCAGTGCCCTCTGCTCAACACCATTCAGATGGAACGCAGACTATTGAACACTGGTTTCTAGTCTGAAAATGGCTTTAGCACAACTAAACGAGGTCTACCTTGAGAGAGAATTGGCTTTGTTTCACTCAGTTCACTTTTGGGTCAACTGAAAGAGGTGTGACTTTGGTTTGGACTCGAATGTGAACACTCATAAAGAGTGACTCTCTGTTGGCAGACAAACTTCACACACCCCATTGAACATGAGAGCTGTTGTTTTAATTAGATTTTAGGCTGTTTTGTTCTTTTAACCTTGATATCTAAACATCAGTCTTATAAAATCTTATTGCTGAAGTGTTTATTTATTTTAATACTTTCTTCTGACCCAATTATAAGTACACCTTTCATATGGTGGTTCTGCTACAGAGTGTGATACTTGTTTGCTGTTTTTTTTTTGAGCATCGTGAAACATTAACACAAACTCCACCAATGGAGAGAGTTTGTGGCTGACCAATGGTAGTGTTCAGGAAACCTGTCTGAAAACAGTCATTTATTTTCCTTACTGGCATAGAAATGAAAGACTTCAGATTTCAAAGTTTATCATTTTGCATTTGAATCACTGTTATGATATTTATTGAAATAACAGCACAAATAACAGCATACAGGCCTAGTTTTAGCTGTTTGTTGTAGCACAGACAGCTCAGCCGCCTAATTGTAGCCGTCTGTCTGCTTTCTTTTAAAATTGGTGTATTGCAAACCTTCAGTGTGCCGGGTACGTTTGAAAGTCGTATTCCCATGTGTCTGATAGCCAGAGGGCAGGATGTAGCGGCACATCTGGTACTGCTGTCTCTCTCTCTCTCTCTGTCTGTCTATCTCTCTGTCTGTCTGTCTGTCTGTCTATCTCTCTGTCTGTCTCGCTGTCTGTTCATTTGCTTAGACTAAATGTTACATAACATTATTCCTAATATCAACTATGAGATCACTGTTTCTACGTTAATGCACCCCATGTGATAATCAGAGTAATTGCCAATCCATACAGGTGTAGTATGATCGATAATATAATATAGGTTACAGTGGATTTTATTGAAATTTCATTTTAGATGAGAATCTGCTGCCATCGTGGATTCTGACTTATGGCTGGGTATGTAGCTGTTTTTAACAAGCAGCACAGTGAATTTTCCAGTGTCTCTGAGGATTTGGTGTTTATATAATGTCTCTCTCTCTCTCTCTCTCTCTCTCTCAGCATGCCATCTCTCCCCATCACTCTCTGCCTGTAATGTTGTGCTTTAGAGGAGACCACCACCACAGGTTGCTTTCTGACAGCAGAGAAAGCACAGTGAGAAAATGGTGTGTCTCCAAGTCAAATCCCTCGCTCCTGCCTCAGTGCTGTTGAGACACGGCTCACTGTCACACTGAGGAAGGAAAGGT